ACACGAAAATGGCGTCCATAAAAGCTGAAAGTTTCTTTTCTATCGCGTGCTTAGCTGTCTTCATCTAAGTCACTTTCTTTTTCCAGTTCTTAAAGAATGTCCAGTGAATGTCTTTAGAACATTTATCAAAATGACCATAAACCAGTTTTCTGTAGTTATCGCTGAGGGATCTTAGCAAAGGATGGGAGAAGTTTTTGTTTGCGTGCCTCGCAAAATATTACCCTGAGGAAATCGAAGATTTAAAAACGCGCGAATCGAGAACGAATATATATTTATTAGAAACACTTAATGAGACCCTTTTGACATAAGTGGCAGAAATAACAAGAAACTTTGTTAGAATATTCCGTTAAAGCCTGGATTTTACTAGCGACGCAAGCAGACGCGCAAGAACAAACGCAAGCAATAGGGATGACCCAAGTACATGAAAACGAAATTCGACGCAAACACAAATACAATCATCCGAACCTTCCAAACTGTTTAGGCGCGAAGTAGTCTGGATCCAGCTTTTTTTATCGGCAGACTGTAGATGCAGTGGATGTGAAAAAAATCCTGCGAGCAGAAAAAGTCCCATTCCCCCATCACTTTTGTAATGGTCCGTCCCTATCGGAAGAGCTATAGCACAACGGACCCGCCTCGACAATACTCATGTTGTTTACTATATATTCTTATTACATTCAGTGAATACATTATCCATAATGAATATCGCGATCTCGTATCCAAGGAGTTTCTGGTAATACATAGAAAATAAATAGACCGTCGGGTGAATGAATAAATATATATTTTGGCACCGTTTGCTCATACATCTCAAATCGTCGGTGAGCCAGGCTAAGGCCTAATTGTGATAATTATTTTCATTTCGTGCCCTAGTTAGTTTGATCTTCAGTTTTATTTATTTCCTGTATCGTACCCAGGATTACCATACCTTCCGCTCCTTGAGGATATATTACCCTCAAGGTTAGCAGTTAATGGTAATCTTAATTGCGTACACAGCACACATCTGCCTTACATGAAAAGGAGGGCCACCCTCTTTGGCCAATGAAAATAAAAAAGAAAAAAAAACGAATGTATCAAATAACGGCAGGCGGATCAACAGTTTCGTTCGACAGTTAATATTCTTCTGTCCGCAAGTGAGACGCAAGTGAATGTGTACTTTCAAAACATAACGCATGCTGATTTTTATTGATTCTTGGGGATCCATCGGTTAAAAAGGTACCAGGAGCCTTTAGATAATAAAAATAATATATCTTTATTTACCTTTATTTCCTTTCGGCAGTGTTTTAATATAGCACAAAGGCTAGTGGGCCGCAACAAACAACTGAAAAAAATTATTCAAATTCAACATAAAATTGTTAAGAGTCCCAGCTGGCTGGAGGGAAACCAGTTGACTATTTACAAGCGTGGCCGAGGATTTGAGCTCGGGAATACCGTGCAGCAAATCCAGATAGTGGTCAGAGCGGGACTCGAGCCCGGAACCGCTGGATTGCGACCTTTTGACATCAGACCTTTCTCATCATTGACGATTCCACTGCTGATAATTAGGGTGTCTCGGATACAGAAAAACACCAA